AAACCATCAAGCTTTGGGTGTCTGCGCCTTTAAGAGCCTCCAGGCCAGAGGAGCAAGTTGGGAAAGTCGCCAAGTGCTTTTCTCATGACCCCTGAGAGGAAGCCTGACTCCGTCAGAGTCCAGGGATGGAGGCGAGGAGAAGGCCCGGCGGCCGGACCTCTCTGTGGTCACCTGCTCCGCTCCTCCGTCCCGCTGACAGCCACATCAGCGCTCAACTTTCCCACAGTTTATCCGTCCCCTGTTGGACCTAAAAATATGAGTGTTTGTCGACATAAATATAGAAGCAGTCAGTGAATTTGGGTCAGAGCAACGGGCAGAACTTTAGGACATTGATCAGAGCTCTGCAGGATTTAATCACTGCATTAATCCTCTGAATGGGACTTTAATTAAGCTGATGTAATTAGATTAAAGATGGTGGCGTGGCTTCTGCTCCAGTTCATAGAATAATAATGAGTTCAACAATAAAAGCAAACGGTTCTGCTCCAAGAAAACGCCGAAAAATGGACCGAGAAGTTTCCATTCAATCGGCTGATTGGACATAAAAACACTCCTCTAAGTGGATGCTGCTACAGAGGGAAGAAAGAGTTACAGCTTCCTGTTTTCAGGATCAGAGGCTTCTTCCCAGGAAACACATCAGCCAATGAGCACCATCCTGAACAAAGGGCCTCGAAACAAGAAACCGGACCAAGCAGGAAGTGACAAGGAGAGGTTGAGCTCGATTTCAGAGGCTGCGTCCTCCAAGGACCTGCTCTACCTGGACTGGGTTCTTCCAGGTCCGTGAAAATAAGGAGACTAGAAGAATTTGCCTTTGGATTCAAACAAGTCCAGCCTTCCATCGCCTAGCAACCGTAAAGTTTACACAAAAAGCAGGCAAAGAATGGATAGTGAACGTCTCACTGCTGATCTGGGTGTTAATAATATTTCTGAGGAGCTTCAGCAGCAGTACCTACATGTCGGATATCAGATTTATAGTCTCCACCCTGCAGAGATGTTGGAATCTCAGTTTAAATGTCAGCCAAACCCATTTACATAAAACCTTTCAATAAATGAAACATTACCGCCACATATCTGACTCAATAACCATTAAAACAACTATTTTCATTCATTTCAGACGGAACTATTCCCTGACTGCATTATATTAAACTGTACTTCCAATGTCCACCACTGTTTGGCGCCATTTCCCTTTTTCCTCAGAGCAGCCGGCTTGCTTGGACTAGCAATGAATCCTGGGTTACCCAAGGCTACGGAGGATACAGCGGATGGATAAAAAGCACGCATCTGTCGGCCGCATAACGAGGAGTCTTCCAATCAGAACAGACCTCGGCGCCGCGTTATGACGTAATCAACCGACAAATCCGGCCCTCAGAGGACGAAGCCGCTGGATTAGAACTCAGCAGAGACGAAAGACAAGAAGTAGCAGATAAATACAGGAAGTGACGGTAGGATCCATGGCAGAGACGCCGTTCTCTAATTCTACCCTCAGACAGAGACCCAGACTCCTTAGGTTCCCGGTGAATCTGAACATACAGTGAGAGGACAGGAAGTGACATGCTATCACAGACTGTCGATTATTCCCCCCCCCCAAACAACTGTAGCGGTCATTGCTGACCCAGACTGCTGAGCTGTAATCCAAGATGAAAGAGGAGAGACTTTGCTGCCATCCTTCTATGGGAAAGGCAATTAAAGATAAGAATGTTACTGCTGGTCCAAATGTCTCTAAAGTCTCATTTCTGTAATCTGAAGATTCATTCAGCAGTTAGCCGCTACTGCAAAGCTTCATCACTATGGTGGAGGGGGGGGGGGGCTTAGACAATAATATGCTACTAAAAATAAGCCTTCCAACAGTCTGATGACTATAAATCCCTGACAGTCAGGACAGGAGCACAGACAGACCATCCATCGCCGTTTGAGGCTTCCTCAGATTGACCTCGTTAAGCAGGTGAAGCTTATGGGAAACAAATGAAGACGCCATGTCCAAAACGGGGCGGTTAGCGGGCAGAAACAGCAGGGCTGGCTTTAAAAGGCTCCTGCAGATGTTCCCCAACACAGGTCTAAGGCTTCTACCATCGCAGAACTACATCCTGACCAAGGTCCAACGATGGAGCCAAAGACATGCAGGCCGCTCTCCATCTTTACAAAGACACGGCAGCCTCGGGGTTCAGACAAACAGCGCTGGGACGGTTTTTCCATCAGAGCAATTCACCGTGGTGATGGCAGCATTATGCTGAGGGAAGTCTTGATTAGAGGTTAAAGTTAGTGGGAAGATGGATGGAGCTCAACGTGAGGAAATCCTGAGAGAAAAAGACTTTAGGGGAGGTTCAAGTTCAGCTGGACGACGTCCAAAACAAACATCCTGAGCTGCAGCAACGGCTTTAGATCAGAGCAGGTTTAATAGTTAGACTGGCCTAGTCAAAGGCCTCACCCAGATGGGCTTCCATCTGATCTAGTCCCAAGAGATTAAGAAGAAACATAGATGTCACCATATTGTCCACCATATTGGATCAGTCCATTTGCTGCACATGTTCAGAAAGGTCCAAACAGACAGCAGCAAACCATTTGAAAACAAACCATGCAAAGAGCAGTGTTGCTAACTTAGCGCTTTAGTCGCTATATTTAGCCACTTTTCAGACCCCTCTAGCACTTTGATTTCTAAAAAGCTCCTAGCGCCAAATCTAGAGACTTTTTTCTGCTACTGGAGACTTTGGAGACAACATCTAAAAGCAGCGAACTCTGCTCTCCAGAGCAAGTAGATTGGTAACCCCGCCTCCTGCTCTCCTCTATCTTGTCTGCTGTCATGATTCATGCAGCTATTATTTCATCCAAATGAAAAATGGAGAACAGATAAGCAGATCATGGCTTGTCTACAGTGAAAAGAAGGACTGGGTTATTTACTTTGGCCTTTTTGGAAACACAGGAAGGAGCAATCAGCTAAGTGAGCTTAGTGCTTGGAAAAAATCTTTCATTCCTTTAGAGACAGCATGAAAAGTCAGCTGAGTACAAAACATAGAGAGGAAAACAAGAAGAAAAGGGACAAGAAGAGAGGGACACAACCTAGAACAGATAATGGATGTCTATTCTATTAACATTTCTCTATCTGTAGAATGGGTCTGTTCTATGTGTTGTCCTCTCCATTCAGAGGGCCCCCTGCCTGTCTTTGCCTAGGGCCCCACATTTCTTTAATCCGCCCCTGCTCAGCGCCACGCTGACGTTTCCATGCAGCTCGGAGCAGCAGCTGCTGCATGTGGCCGCAGACATGATTCAATCAAAAACATGTTGATCAGAAACGTATTTATTCAAAACCAGAAATCCTTTTAATCTATAATCAGTGATCCGCCTCAGCAGCAGAGACGAGTCGGGGGCTCCAGGTCCTCTCCACCTTCTAAATCAGCCACACTGGAGCTTTTCAACATGAACAACCTTGCTTCCTTAGCGATTCAGCTCAGGACTTTGACTAGGCCACTCATTTTGGTGTGTTTAGGATCCTGCTGCTGAACCCAGGCTGGTTTCATCTGAGGTCACATGTTCTCCTCCATGCTTCCTTTATCCACAGCAGCCCCTAAAGCAGCCAATCATCCTACCGTGTCCGATTCCCCGGCCACTGTTTCCTAAGGACGCTGCGCCGTCATACATGTGGCTGATGGTTCTATGTAAACACTTAGCATCGAAGAAAAATGTGTCAATCAGATCAAAATTTAAAAAAAGTCTAAATTTTCTGCTAATAGATCAAACTGAGTGGAGCAGGTGACCTTCCTAAGATGGCGTCCCAACAGCACATCATCAGCTGGTTACTCCATCTACAGCGGCTACTGCCTAGAGCACAACTAAACACGCCACCTAGTGGACTGGAGGGAAACAGGAGGTAGGCAGAGGAACAGATCGGTGGTGGCTGTATGGTGCTGTGGGCCGTCTCAGGCATCAGACCTCTTCCTGCTCTCTACTCTTCCTCCCACTGAGCTATTAATCTCAGGTGGAGACCAAACATCCTTCTACTTTCATTAAACGCAGCTTCATCCAAACCTCTCTAAAGTTCACAGGGAGTGAAAACTTTGGTTCTCCTCAGCAGCCAATCAGAACCTGGCATGCAGAGAGAAGGGGGGCTGATTTAAAGTTGGTTTAAAGTAAAAAAGGTTTCTTCAAACTAACTTCGTATGTTCTGAGTCTGTCAGCAGGACCTTTCCCCGTCAGCAGAGGATGTGCGTCCACTTCCTGCTCCACTTCCTGCTCCAAGCTCAGCTCCATCAGGGACTTCCTCTGCCTGCTATTCATGGCCACTTCCTGCCTGGATCTCCTCACCTCACTAAGTTTCAGGACACACCTGCAGGTTTGGATTAACGTCCTGCAAACTCCAGAGCAGTGAGGAGGAGAAGAGCCCAGGGAGGCAGCCAGTGATGGACTGGGTGCTGAAGCAGAGCTGCCTGCCATGTTTCCCCCCCCAGGAGGAACAGGCTGCGGCTGTCAGCTCATCTGATTGTTTTGGCAACAACTCAGATCCAGACTGAGGCTCAGAGTTCATGCATCACAGGCTGTGAGAAAGTCACGCGCCTACAGACTCACCTGAAGCAGCTCTGCCCCAAACTGAGGGGGACAGGAGGACAAACTGTCCCAATCTGGACCCTGTCCCTTCATGGGTCCACTTCCTGCTGAGGAGCAGCACAGCTATCACAGTGGGAGGTTAATGCTGGTGGAGCAGGAATAAGGAGATTATTCCCAATCATGTCCAACACACTGCTTTTAATCCAGAGGAGACAAACAGGTATAATCCCAGCCTATAATCCCAGCCCATCACACTGGTTCTGATCTGAACTCAACTCAGTTCTGGAAGAAAAGGAAGAAATCAGCAAATAGGCTAAAATAATCTTATTTTGGTTTTACTGGATTAGCTTAATCCGGCGGATTAAAATGCGCTCTAGTTGTCAAACTAAAGGAAAGTCCGGCGGACCGAGCGGAACCGATCCTGATCCAGAACCAGAGGATCCAGGAGGAACCATCAGATCACTGACCTGAGATCCAGAGCAGGAAGCAGAGCCGCGGAAGGTTCCTCTCCATCATGGTGTCAGCAGCTCCGTCTGTCCTCCGCCTGGGCTGCTGCTGCTGGATCCAGCTGCTTTCTGGAGGAGGGCTGGATCCTCCTGGATCACCTCCTCCGACTCCTGCTCTCCCCCCTCCTCCCCTGCTCCCCTCCTCCCTCCCTCCTTCCGGCAACGAGAACAAAACAGAACAGAGAGACAGCAAAGTGATTATCACCGGGGGGGGGGGGGGGGACCCGGTCCGGAGGGAGGGACTGACCCACCTGACAGTCATTCCTCGGAGTCCAAACAACTTCCTGCTGTGACCCTTCAAAATAAAGCGCATCTATTATACGAGAGGAGCAGCTGCTTTTATTCTGACAGCAAAGATGAGGAACTTCCGCCCTGCTGGTCCTCACAGAGCCGCAATTTACAGGCAGCACCTGTTCTGTACTTCTGCGCCAAGAACAGGTGAAAACATTTAAACAAAAAACAGTTAAAAAACTAGAAATGATCCTAGTTAATCCGAACCGAACATCTCTGACAAGAAAGAAAGAAAGAAAGAAAGAAAGAAAGAAAGAAAGAAAGAAAGAAAGAAAGAAAGAAAGAAAGAAAGAAAGAAAGAAAGAAAGAAAGAAAGAAAGAAAGAACCTTCCTTATAATGGGTTTGGTGATTTCAGAAACTATGGAAGAAATATGAACAAATTACGAATAGAAATAATAAAACATTTAGAATACTCAACTTTCTATTCAATTCAGTCAGATTGATTCAAAGTTTCTATCTGAGGAAAACCAGCTGATTGCATCGACTCATTGACTCTTCAGCAATCCCTCACACTAAGCATGCTTGTAGCGACAGTGGAGAGGAAAAACTCCCTTTGAACAGGAAGAAACCTCTAGCAGAACCAGGCTATACATTCTATGTTATGATAGATAGATAGATAGATAGATAGATAGATAGATAGATAGATAGATAGATAGATAGATAGATAGATAGATAGATAGATAGATAGATAGATAGATAGATAGATAGATAGATAGAGGTGAACGTTTCTCTGCATCTCTGACCTCCAAGTCTATAAATAAAGTTTCAGACGGAATGTGTTCATTGCACTGCTGATTGTGTCTAACTTGCTCAATCAGATGCATGCATGGAGGAATGATCAAGGTTTGAATTGCTAATAGCCGTTAGCCTGGTCCTTCAGAACTTTTGGGATGTTGCCATGCCTGAGGCGCTGAAACGCTGCAGACATGCTGCTCATCACAGGAATCCCATATGAGCAGAGTGCTGATAGATTAGATCATGTTTGTGGCAAATTGAAATCTTAACAGTTTACTCTCATGTTAAATGTGTTTATTTTCTAAAGCAAAGGACATTATTTTATCAGAGGATGATAAGCATCCGTTGTAAGTTTAACCTCCGTGCATCTTATTTTCATTTAAAGGTAGACCAATAAAAGTTGCAGCAAAACTAAGAGGTTTGTTGGAGAATAAAGGAAAAGTTAAATTAGCTGAAAATGAAGAAAAGCGTGTTCATGTTAACACGGTAAACGTTACACACAACAAATAAAATATACCAGAAACTACTCACAGAATGAGCTTCAATAATCCTGCTTTAAATACTGATTTTAATGGTTTTAATTGCAAAGGCTTTGCATTTACAGCTTAGAACCTTTGTTTGGATAAATTGTAAAAATGACCTAAAACATAAGATAATCTACTATTTTTTTTATGTTCCTATAGTTCCTGTCAGGTACAGATTTGAGCTTTTCTGCTGAATTGCTTTGACCCAAATTGGCTGCAGAAAAGGGAGAGAAATAAAATGCTGTTATGGCAAAACTAGACAGGCATATTTGCACGCTCCTCATCTAGTTTAAACACCATGTCACAAGCTTTTTTAACACTAAGCCTATTTTCCAAAACCTCACAACTAAATCCTGATCCTCTCCCTCATCTCTCCTGAAAATGTTCAGCTCCTGTTCCATCATGTTTGAAGAGGTTTAGGCTTAAAGGCAGAGGAAGCAGCCTGGATGTGAATTCCCTGGGTGAGCTCACCTCCCTGATAGGAAAATACAGACTGACCTGTGCTCGGCCAGCTGGTCACTCCTCCTTATTTCATTTTTTTAAGCTTACTCTGTTGCCGCAGCAACAAGGCTGAGGCTAACGCAGGTGGATTGCTTATTTATACGAGGTCAACATGGGTTATTCTGTGAATAAATCCACAGAAGCAGAGACCTGTTCATGTGGGAATGAGGTTCTGTTGTTGTTAACGGCCTCTCTGCCCCGTCAGAAATCTGCAGGTTTTAATCTGGAAGAACTGTCTGTTGATTGGATGATGAGAAACACTGAAAACTGAGAAATACTGATTTTAAACAGAACTAATGAGTGAAAAACTGAACAATCCTGACACCTGGAGGACACATACTGTCCTCTCAGCTGGGTTTTACAGATTATTACCATGCTCTCATCATTACTTTGATTTACCTGCTGTTTAAAGAGTCTAATATAAACGGTTTCAGAATGTGGAGGAATGTCTGAGGGAAATCTAAAGGAAACCTGAAGGAGATCTGATGGAAATCTGAAGGAAATCTGAGGGAAGGATAGTTAGTAGAGTAAAGATTTTTAAGTTATTACAATGTTACATTAAAAGTTAGTTCAACTTACAGTTGAGTTCACAAAAAAATAGAATTTAAAGTTGAGCAAACTCAAACGCAAAAATTAGGATATTTAGTTTAATTCCCCAACTTAAAATTTTATCGAAGTTTGTTGCCTTGAAATTTTAATTTCATCCATTTTTTTTTTTTTTTTGCAGTGTATTCTATGTTATTCTTATCTGTGTTTCAAATTAACTTCTTTTATTCTGTTTTTTTCCTCTCCAGTTTTATAATAGTATCATTTATGGATAAATATGTTTTATTTTGTTTTGGTGCAGCTTCTATGTTGCTCTATAAATACATTTATATGGTATATCTACATTCTCTATGCAGAGGAGTTCTGTCTCTAATAGGATAATTTGTTCACAGTAAAGTTACTCAGCAGAGGCTACGCAGTGCCATCTTCTGGCCAAAAGGAGGAATTGCACCTTCTCTCTGAAAGTCTTAACAGCTGCAGTAGTTCTCAGTTATTGCAATGTTTTTGTAACAGATTCATCAGGTGGAAATCATCAGCCTTATTCAGCTGAGCCGTCCATCTTTTAACGACCAACAGTAACAACACCACAGCTATAGAAATAAAATAAGTTGGCAGTTGTGGCCTACCGGTTAGAGCAGTTTGAGCTCTGAGAAGGTTGCAAGTACCCGGTTCAATCCCCACAGCCTGCATTCTGGGTTCCTGAGCAAGACCTTTAACCTCTGGTTACTCGCTGGGCGCCGCATCATGGCAGCCCACTGAGAATAAAGAAATAGCCAAAGTTTCCTCCATGTTTTCTGAAAGGAGAACCTGAAGGTGGAGGGATAACAGTAAGGTTTTGATTGTCTATGATTGCTGCCTGCTCCTCCTGCAGGGCTGTCATCAGACTCCTTCCTTCAGATGCTTTCTTTTCTAACATCCTCAGACTCTGAGGCTTCATAGAACCAATTAACTCTCACAGCCTGGCCCTATGAAACACTGAGGCAGGCCTTGTTTCCAGATTTAGGGGTAATGCAGTAAAAGGGGCCTAACTAAATGTGCTCAATATTCCTTTCAATCTCTTCCACTAAATTTTTTAGTGGAAGTCCAAGCGCTTCTGGGCCCTTTGGACCAGTGAGGTGGTGTTTCCAGTCCAGGTGAGGGTGTCTGTGATGAATGTGGTGCTGCTGACTACCTCTACAGCTGAGCTGTTGATGAGCAGTGGAGCGTGGTTAGGCCGCTTCTTCCTGAAGTCCACCATGATCTCCTTGGTCTTCTCCACCTTCAGGATCAGGCTGTTATCTCTGCTCCACCAGCTGCTCCACCTCCTCTCTGTAGTCCAGGTCGTTGTCGTCTCTGATGAGGCCCACCACCGTGGTGTCGTCTGCAAACTTCACCATGTGATTGGTGGTGAACCTGGGGACGTAGTCGTGCGTCATCAGGGTGAACGGCAGGGGACTCAGGATGCAGCCCTGAGGGGAGGGGCTTAGACTGATGACATCAGAGGTTTTCTGTCCGACCCGGACTGACTGAGGGTCTGTTGGTGAGGAAGTCTAGCAGCCAATAGCAGAGGGGTGTATTGAAGCCCAGCTGTTCCAGTTTGCTCATCAGATGCTGTGGGATGATGGTGCTGAAAGCTGAAATGAAGTCCAGGAACAGCATCCGCACCTGGCTGTTCTTCTCCTCCAGGTGTGCCAGGCTCAGGAGGAGAGCAGCAGAGATGGCGTCCTCAGTGGAGCGGTTCCATCGGTAGGCGAACTGGAACGGGTCGAATGTTGGCGGCAGACTGGAGACGATGTGTTCTTTAACCAGCCTTTACCTGCATAGATGAGAGAGCTGGGCCTGTTTTTCACTGTTCAGTCCTGTTTCTCTCCTAGACAGAGCAATGGCTTGACCTCTGACATGAAAACGGTCTCTGTCATCTGATTCTTTCCCACAGAGCTAGCTTACTGTTAGCCTTGGCTGGTCCCCTACAATTCCTTTTTAAACATCCATCTTTGTAATAAAATAATCTTTCTTTCATGATTTAGGGACATTAACATCTAAAGAGAAGCGTCATCTCCTGGTCAGACCAAAGGGGCCATAAAAAAAAAAAAAAAGTTTCAAGAAAGTCTCATGACTGATACAGGAGCTGTTTCAGACTGACGCCATAAACGGCGTTTATTATCGCATCTGCCAAAAATAAACAACTGATCTCTGATCTTTTGCAGTTTATGTTCAAATGAATCAATAAATATAAATCAGCCTGAAGGCAAAGAGAGCTGTTAGTTCCAGTGGGACCGTTTTGATCTCTTATTTGTTTTAACCTACTGTTCCTTTCAGTTATCAGTCAACTTATCTGAATTCAAATTGATTTCAGATTGACTCTCAGTTTTCTGTTCTATCTGTAGTTATTATTTTTAAATAAATGAATTCTTAATGGATTACAACTAAAAACATCAAACATATTTCAATTTAAATGAAGATATAAAATAAAACCTTATAGAAAACAAGTCTTAAATCATATTACAGGTCATCCCATCACTGTCAGTTTGGTCTGTCAGAGGCTGCCTGTAGTGGTTTTAAATGTCCAGCAGGTGTCAGTGTCGATACCACTGATCTCTATTTATTCACTGGATTGCTGATTGCCCGAAAAAAGTGAAGCCACCGTCCGCCATGTTGGTACTCCCCACTCCCACGCAGTAAAAATGCCTCAATGTGAAGCATTTGGCTGCAAAAACTAGGGAGTACCAACATGGCGGCTGGTAGCTTCACGTCAACCCCATACTACCAATAGGCAATCAGGGAATAAACAGAGATCAGTGATTGATACCGTTTGTCCTCATGAAGGCATCACTACTGTGGTCAGCTTTACTGGGACCAGAGGAGTCCAAAGTGTTCATGTTTATTCCTCCAGTATAATTCCTCCTAAAAACACTTCTATAGAAATTAAAGGATCATTTTTTTCCAGTAAAAGTGTAAAAGTTCGATTTTTAAAACTACTTAAAGTATAAAAGTAAACGTAATTCAGGAAAAACTGTTAAGGCCAGAAGCTTTACTGCATTAAAGGAACGTTTTTCTATAATTCTGGATGATAACTTCCTTAGACTTCATTTTCTTAGTTTTATAACTAATAGTAACAGTGTCACATTTAACTTTGCATCATCTGGAAAACTATTTATTTTGGTTTGTGATGAGTAACAAGTTGGGGCAGCAAAGTGTTCAACCACAAAGAAATTAATTGTCTGGATGAAACTAATTATTTTGATTTTGTTAAAAATACCAACAGGTCATAATGAAAATTAGCTTAAATGGAAATAAATAATGAGTCTATTTATAAAATGTAGGAGTAGAAAGTAAAAAGTTGTGTAAAGCATAATTACTCCAGTAAAGTATAGATATCCAACATTTCCACTTAATTAAGGAAGCAAAGTATTTCTGCTTCTACTGTTAATGGAGCCTCAGTCTGGGACTAACTGGATCTTTCTCTCTTTCATCCTCTGACATGAAAACTGGCTCAGATTGTCTGATTAACCGTTTCTCTCCCACAGAGCAGTGATGCATTAACAGCCATGCATGGAGTCCATAGAGCCAATCACTGCATCAGTGCTCCTGTCATTTCCAGAACGTCATGTGACCGATCCAGACGTTTCTAACTGACTCACTAAACTGTGTTTAAAAATGTATTTGTCAACATGATGCATCTGCTACAAAAAATCATTAAAAAGACAAAGAATGTTGGAGCAGCCTAAAAGAAATAGGAACGTTTCAGCCGCTGCGGTAATCTAATTTTCTCCTTGTTTCATCCTTTTCCTCTGTTATCACTCAACTTATCTGAATTACAGTTAATTTCAAATTGACTCTTAGTTTATTTACTGTTTTTACTGTATTTATTGTTTTAAATATACAATTTAAAATCCTAGTCCAGCAGCATCCTTATTCACATTTCCCCCTAAATTTTCACGTTATGATAAATGTTTACATTATTTATTGGCTGCATCTAAAATATCAAAGATATTTTCCATTTAAACATAGATATGAAATAATACAATATAAGCTCCAATAACTTCAATGATATCATTGAAAAAGGTCATCAGATCCATTCAGTTTATTCTGTCCCATCAGCTGCCTGTAGTGTCTTTAAATGTCCAGCAGGGGTCAGTGTTCTGTGAGACAGAATCAATGCAGTTTGGCTTCAAAATGCCTCATTAACCATCACTAGCACAGAGCCACCTGTGGGGCTAGTTTACCCTTAGCCTTTATAACATAGAAAGTCTTAACAGATCACTGCTTCTATGTTTCTTTTTCTATGTCTGCTTGTGTCTCCTTGAACCCCAGTCGGCCTCAGCAGATGGCCGCTCACACTGAGCCTGGTTTCCTCTCAGGTAGTCCAGGTGGATCATCTTACTGGAGCTGCATCCAGTCAGCTCATCAGTTTTGATGTTTTTTGATCAGATCAACCTTCTGCTGCTCGTTCCAGACCCCCCCCCCATTAAATGACCCCTGACTCATTCTCTCCTTGTGTTTAACCACAGAGTTCCACTTTTATTGTCGTTCAAACATGTAAACAAAGAGATGGCGACTCTGAAACAAGCACAGACAGTACATGGCATCCATCAATGAGGTAAAATATTATCTCCACCAACGAAACTCACTAACGCTGGAATGCTCAAGAACACAGATGTTCATAAATAGATATCATAGAAGCTATATGGTAGATTTCACATTACATAGATTGACATGGACACACCCACCGTCCTCTACTGGAACGTTGCAGCAGATCCAGGCTGCTGCCGGTCGGCTTTGGACCTCTGAGCGAACAGCTTCCTGAATAGAACAGACTTCCTGTCTGCATGGAAACATCTGCACTGAGGAGCGGCTTCACACCACGGCAGGTACTTAGAGCCAGGAGGAGGCGCTGTCCTGATGAGAGGGAACCCACTGTGTCTTTGTCCCTCAGAGGGACAGAAGGCTCTGCTGTCTAAGCAAACCGCGCCTCCTGGTGGACAGGATGGGGATTGATTCAAGGATCTGAGGTTTCTGAAAAAGGCAGAACCATAGCAGAGGAGCAAATACAAACCCATCTACCTCACTAGATCTACATCTGCTGGTGCCTGAGGAGGAACTAGAAAACCAGGTGTGTCTGTGTGTGACAGTTAACGCAGACATGCCCCGCCCCCTTCCACAGACGCTCTGGTGCACCTCTGCCAAATGTAGGTGACCGCAGACAGGAGGCCTCTGATTGGTCTAATCTACATCCGCTCTGCACTATAGTTATTTCCTGTTTGGTTCCTTAGCGGACATATTCAAGCATTAATGGAGGGAGATAGCGATAAATGTGGCCCTAGATACACCCTAAGGAAGTGGGGGCAAGATTGTCCGACAATGGAGGGAAAAAGTTGTGAAAAAGAGCGGGGATCCAGGATGAAAAAGTCTCCCAGCGTTCTATATCTTCATGTCCTGGCTGGACAAGTTCCTGATTGGCCCTCTGGCGTTGTGGCGTGGAATAACATAGCGCAGAGCACGCTTCAATATTGGGCATAAATCAATAATATCTGTGACACGCTGCAGCGGGAGGATACCCAGGCCTGTAAACATTCGGACCTGAGGCAGTGAGAGGAGCTGCTTCTGGTCTGTAGATCAGCTGTTATCCTGCTGGATGTTCTGATGTTTAGCTGATGGTGGAAACATCTCCTCCAGCTGCTGCTCCCGGCGGTGAATAACTGATCCGGCGCCAGAAAACTCTTCCTTTCATAATCTGCTGCCTGATCAGAGCATCGATCACCAGAGAAACATAGAATCTCCTTAAATATAAAAAATGGGACATTTCTATATAAATACTAATAATCGCTCTCTGGTTCCAGTGTCTGGGACCCAGGATCCTAAAGGTTCTCGGTTGTATAACGGCTCAGCTGAGCGTGTTTCTACAGGAAGTGGTTAGTGGTTGTAACCCCTGCTCACTCATCAGGACCCCCCCCCACCTGTGCAACCAGACATACATCCGGGTCGTGTAGCGACACGCCCAGATCCGCCAACCCATTCCCTGCTTAGCCCCACCCCCTGAGGTAGACAGTACTGTCCCCGTCCCCCCCGCCTTCGGCCCGCTCCGCGTGGCGGTTCTACTTCTGCCTTTTTGTTCCACTGAGGCAGAAGATTCAGTTCATCACAAACTGATTAAGTGCTGCGTGAAAACGGAATGGCGTCTGGAATAAGACGAGCTTATAATGGCGGCAGCTTGATCTGCTCATAAAGAAATAAATACATTAAATATAAAGGTCTGTTTCCATGACAATCAGAGATCCTCCCACAGCATGGCGCCGCCGGCGTTACGAGTCTGCGTGGTTGAACTTTAAGGCGTAACCCACGGCCGTCTCCAGGCACTCCACCAGGGAGCCTGCAGACAGGAAGTCCAGCTCCACCTCGATGAACTTCACGTAAACAGCGTGGCGTTGAGGCGAGTCCTCGCTGTCATGGCTGTCCGCGCCGCTTCCGGCAGCGCCACAGTTTTTTTGCAGGAAGCGCGTCACGCCGGAAGGCTCCCCGTAGGCTGACTGTTTCCCAGGTCCCTGAAAGTGCTGGAAGAGGCACTGCTGGATGGTCCTGTCCTCAGCTACGCCCAGGTAGCAGTAGGTGACGGCAGGCCTGGTCCGGACGCCATCGCACCGCCCTGACCCGTTCTCCTCCCCACGCTGAGCCAGGCTGCCACCGTCCTCCTCGTTGTGGGCCGGCGGCGCCTCGTAGCCGATGGCGTACAGCCCGTGAGTCTTAGGGATGTACACAGGAAGGAGGTAGTGGGAGGAGCCCCTGCTGCCGCTGGTGGCGTGTGACGGAGACACGGCGGTCCAGTCCACCTCCATGTGCAGCTCCAGGCAGCGAGCCTCACTGATGGTGATGTCCAGGAACTTGTAGTAGACGGTCTTCCAGTTCATCTTCTGAACCTTGGTCATGATGACCCGGCCCTCCGGCTTCTCCGGGTTGAAGTACTCGCGGAGCCTCTTCCCCAGCGGCACCTGTGAGCTGATCTCGGCGTAGTGGTAGCGTATGTCCTTGCGCCAGCGCGTGTTGTAGCCCACGCCGAAGATGGCCAGCTTGTTGGACAGGTGGAGCCGGGAGAACTCGGTCCAGGTCTGGAAGTGCTCCCAGTTTAGCTGCACCGACTCCAGGATCCGGATCACCGTCTGCATCGTCTCCTTCTTTCTGCACAGGAACAGAAAGAAGGATTTAATCTGAGCAATCCATCCTAATCTACAAACCAGTGCTGAGATTAAGATGCAGTCAACAACTGAGATCCTTCTTTCATCTGAGGAATATTGCTAAAATTAGAAATATCCTGTCCAGGGGTGATGCTGAGAAACTAGTCCATGCATTTCTTACTTCAAGGCTGGACTATTGTAATTCTTTACTATCAGGAAGTCCACAAACTGTAGTTAAAAGCCTTCAGCTGATCCAAAATGCTGCAGCCAGAGTTCTGATGAAAATGAAAAAGAGAGATCATATCTCTCCTATCCTGGCTTCTCTTCATTGGCTTCCTGTTAAATCCAGAATAGAATTTAAAATCCTCCTTCTCACATATAAAGCCTTAAATGGCCAAGCTCCATCTGATATCAGAGATCTGATTGTTCCTTATGTTCCTAACAGAGCACTTCGCTCTCAATCTGCAGGTTTACTAGTGGTTCCTAGAATTTCTAAAAGTAGAATGGGAGGCAGATCTTTTAGTTATCAGGCTCCTCTCCTGTGGAACCAACTACCAGTTTTAGTCCGTGAGGCAGACACCCTGTCTACTTTTAAGGCTAGGCTTAAAACTTTCCTTTTTGATAAAGCTTATAGTTAGGGTGGCTCAGGTTATCCTGAGCTATCTCTATAGTTATGCTGCTATAGGCTTAGACTGCTGGAGGACATAGGGACCCCTTTTTCATCATTCTGCTTCATTCTATCTCTATTCTCCCACTCTGCAGAATCTGTTTTTCTCAGAGTAGCTTCATCTGGTCTGTTCCTGTTTGGCTGTGACTCCATCCTGGAGAGAAATATCAGCTTTTCTGCTGCCATCAACACCTTTGTTTCTAGATGTTGGAGCTTGGCCTGTTTTCCAGTGTAGTCCTGTTTCTCTGACTGTGACTAACTGGATGTGCTCTCTTCATCCTCTGACATGGGAGCTGGCTCGGAGCTCGTCTGCCTGGCTGTGTGTTTCCTGGACGGGGCCGCCTGTGGAGCTGGTTGACAGTTGCCTTTGTATCTATGCTTCTTTTTCTATGTCTGCTTCTGTCTCCTTGAACCCCAGTCGGCCTCAGCAGATGGCCGCTCACACTGAGCCTGGTTCTGCTGGACGTTTCTTCCTGTTCAAAGGGAGTTTTTCCTCTCCACTGTCACTACAAACGAGCTGTAAAGTGCCTTGAGACGACACGTGTTGTGAATTGTCGCTATAGAAATAAACTGAATAGAATTTTCCTTTTCTTCAGCTGTTTTCTACTTGGAGTTTCTCTACTGAACTAAATTCAGAGGGTGTGAATACTTTCAAACGGTAGGAAAGCTTTGATCAAAGTGGACCAGAAGCAGTGTGTTGTTTTAATCCCAGTAAAACTGGATGGACTTACTGGTTTAGTTCAGTCAGTTCTGCTTGGATCTGTAGAGCTCTAGTTTTAGGAACCTGAACGTCCTCTGAGCCACACGGAGCAGGAAGAGAAGGAATCACAGGATTAGTTCAGTTTTTCTTAAAGGTTACCGTCCAGCCAATCAGACCAGAACCCACCAGTGTCCATGTCTGCCTCCTGAAAAGCTGAATCCAGCACCTGGTTGCACCAGTCCTCCTGGGAGAAGTCCTCCAGGGCGCTGCCGTCAGACTCCATCTCCTGGTACAAGCCGCTGCTGTTGATCAGCACCGGGGCGCAGCTCTGAGAGTCCCAGCCTCCCTGACCAAACACCTTCTCCAGCTGCTCCATGGTGTAGCTGCTCTTCCTCTTCCCGATGCCGTGTTCCTTCACGCGGCTGTAGCAGCGCCTCAGCGTCTGTAGGAAAGAGGAGGAGGGCAGGAGGATGCAGCCAGAGCTTCATTACTCAGCACTGACAGCAGGGATGATGATGATGATGATGAAGGTGCTCCTGGATCAGAGAAAAACAGCCTGAAGTTCTCTGAGCTCAGGATTTATTAGATAGTAAAGCTGCTTCTCAAGACACAGAACCACAGAACATGAACAGAACCATGAGGGGGGGATTTACCATTAGGAAATAAAAGGCGGCTGCCTAGGGCCTCAAGTTCCTGGGGGCCCCATAAACTCTGTTTCCATGTATGGTTAATACAACTGTTCCTTATTTGTGCACATTAATTATGTTTTTAATAAAAATGTCATCATAACGCTGATAATATTAAGTGTGTCTCAGCCCCCCCCCTTCAGTGTCCACCGTATTGGATCAGTCCATTTGCTGCACATGTTCAGAAAGGTCCAAACAGACAGCAGCAAACCATTTGAAAACAAACGATGCAAAGAGCAGTGTTGCCAACTTAGCGCTTTAGTCGCTATATTTAGCCACTTTTCAGACCCCTCTAGCACTTTGATTTCTAAAAAGCTCCTAGCGCCAAATCTAGAGACTTTTTCTGCTACTGGAGACTTTGGAGACAACATCTAAAAGCAGCGAACTCTGCTCTCCAGAGCGAGTAGATTGGTAACCCCGCCTCCTGCTCTCCTCTATCTTGTCTGCTGTCATGATTCATGCAGCTATTATTTCATCCAAATGAAAAATGGAGAACAGATAAGCAGATCATGGCTTGTCTACAGTGAAAAGAAGGACTGGGTTATTTACTTTGGCCTTTTTGGAAACACAGGAAGGAGCAATCAGCTAGAGCCAGGACTAATAGACAAAAAAAAAGTTGTTTTTATTTCGAGAATAAAGTCAGAATATTACAGTCAGAATATTAAGAGAATAAAGTTGTAAAATTACAAAAATAGAATCGCAACATTACATAAAGTCGTAATATAATGAGAATAAAGTTGTATTTTATGAAAACTCTTAACACTAGAAGTCCTAGAGATAGGAGAATTATCGTCAGCCTGCAGTCCCCCCCCCGCAGCACTTATCAACTCCTGAATCCCTTTTCAGATGTAAATGCCCCATTAGCGCTTTGGCTGGAGAACAAATCCACCCCCTTCACTTTCGGTTTTAGCTCAAGTCTCTCTCTTTGAGTGTTTTACCTGATAGCAGGGGGGAAAAATCATCGTTGTAATTAAATATAACTATGTCTACGTCATCAGTGTCGACAACAGCGCAATGATTTCAGCGCAGCGATCAGATGATAACTGATCTGTACAATGAAAATAGCTGCATGAGCTGGAACGCTGTAGAAAGCAACAATATTTATACAATAATGAGCATTATTTATTTGGGGGGAAATATAACTCAAGCGATCCCTCCTCTCTCTCCTCCGCTGCAGACATGCAGACAGCATCGTGAGACTGCAGTAAAGTTGGCAAAAATATTCACAGATTCTGCTTTTAACGGATTAATAACTCGTTGGCGGATTATTTATTCTACAAAACAGACACCTCTCTCCAACCACAGCAAGGCAGAAAGTGAGCTACAACCGTAGTTTCCTCAAAGCGAGTCTCCTATTGCAAGTTGCAAAATAATCAGAGAGAAATATTCAAAAGCATCACCAAGGAGAGGTGGATTATTATCACATTCATTGCATGTGATCTCATGTCTTTCATACCACATTTATTGGATTTGAAAATAATACTTTGAGGAATTTCCCAAAGTCTGAATGACAAATGGCACCTCTATTTTATTATTAGAATAAGTATAAAATGAGCAATGATTACACTATAGATCACTGTACTGCCTCCAAACTTATAGGATACACAGATAACCTCATCTGGATCATAATACAACTCATACTTTGGAAAAATAGGCCAAACTGTATTTTTGGAGATTTTTTCAATGTTATTATAAGCATATAATAGCCAATAATTACACCATAGATCATTGTAGTGCCAGCAAACATAGATAACCTCATCTAGTTCAGGCTATAACTCTTACTTTCAGAATATGTTTTAAACTCTATTTTTTGAGAAGCACTTTCTTCTATAAAATGAGGAATGTGGAGCATCATGTGAGGTTATACTTTGGCATTAGTTCGACAAATCAGGAAATTTTTCAGTTCCAGCATCAAACTGGGCAGGAGGTCAAAGTGGACTCAGGTTGCTGATTGGTGGAGCTGGTCGTCATTCATTTGCTGGTCGGAGCGCCAAGATTTCTTTCTGAAACGCGCTGTTCTTGTTATTTTTCAGCTTTATTTTCATAACATTAAGAATTTATTCTAATAATTCTATGGCTTTATTCTCATAATATTGCAACTTTATTCTCAAAATAAAATAAAAAAATCTCTAGCCTGGCCCTAATGCTCTATCATAAGTGAGCTTAGTGTTTGGAAAAATCTTTCATTCCTTTAGAGACAGCATGAAAAGTCAGCTGAGTACAAAACATGGAGAGGAAAACAGGAAGAAAAGGGACAAGAAGAGAGGGACACAACCTAGAACAGATAATGGATGTCTATTCTATTAACATTTCTCTATCTGAATAATGGGGCTGTTCTATGTGTTGTCTTCTCCATTCAGAGGGCCCATGCCTGTGTTTGCCTAGGGCCCCACATTTCCTACATCCGGCCCTGGCAGCATGCTACCTGCTCTGACAGGCTTCTGCAGGTGTACCGGTTCATCATGGCTCCTCACCTTCATCCTCTCCCTGCACTGGGATGGAGTCCTCTCATAGCCCAGGTCTGACAGGGCTCTGGATACCCGCTCATACATGGCCGGGCCCGGCGGCTTCCCGGAGAACACGGTACCGGCGACCTCCAGCTGCTGCATCCGCGCCTCCGTCAGCCGCTCGTTGCCCCACACCGCGATGAGGGCGTTCGTCTCGGACGGCGTCCAGGACATCCCCCGGCAGGCGGTGAAGCTGTTGGAGGATGAGGCCGCCGTCCGGCCCGCGGGGCCACAGCCGACGTTCAGAGGCGAGAATCGGTTCGGCGTCGAGGCGTCGGAGTGGTACTGAACACCGTCACTCAAATCCTCGGACTCGGGAGATGGCACCTCGGTTTTCGGTATCTTTAACGGTTTCATTATCTCAGGAGGGGGCTCCGCGTTACCGGACGCCGCCATGTTTCCTCTGTTGCTAAGGGGAGGGGGCGGGAAGAAGATGTGACGTTAGAGGGGCTCGGAGAAAACGATGCTACCGCGAAAAAAACACAGAGCATCCCTATTATTAAAGGAAGAATATAATCAAAATGGTCCCGGTATGAGCCCAGAGACCGAACCAGTTAACGGGCCCAGTATGAGTCCAGAGACCGAACCAGTTCAAACCAGATCCTCAAAGACAAACGCAATTTCCCCACTGTTTTAACATTTAATCAAAATAAACTTCTGTGTCTGGATTAGGTTAAGGTAACCACATTCATAAGTCATAATTATGAGTTACATAGTCACAATTATCAGAAAAAAAGTAATAATTTCGAATTTTAAAGTCACAATATGAGTTACAAAGTCATAATTCCAGCTTTCAAAGTCATAGCTTACAAAGTCATAATAATCAGTTAAAAAGTCATAATTTCGACTTTTAAAGTCACAAATATGAGTTACAAAGTCATAATTATGAGTTACAAAGTCATAATTATGAGTTACAAAGTCATAGTTATGAGTTACAAAGTCATAGTTTTGGCTTTTAAAGTCATACTTATGAGTTAAAGAGTCACAATTTACTAGTTACAGTCAGTTTCCACTTTCGAAGTCATAATTTCAACCTTTAAAGTCATAATTATAAGTTACAAAGTCACAATTATGAGTTAATAAATCATACTTATAAGTTACAAAGTCATCATTTCTACTTTCAAAGTCATAATTTTGACCTTTAAAGTCATAATTATGAGTTACAAAGTCACAGTTATGAGTTACAATGTCATATTTATAAGTAACAAAGTCATTTCCACTTTCAAAGTCATAATTATGAGTTACAAAATTAAACTTATAACTTACAAAGTCATAATTGCCACTTCACTTTCAAAGTCATAATTATAAGGTACAAAGTCACAATTATGAGTTACAAAGTCATACTTATAAGTTACAAAGTCATCATTTCCACTTTCAAAGTCATCTTTTTGACTTTTAAAGTCACAATTATGAGTTAAAGTCACAATTTACTAGTTACAGTCAGTTTCCACTTTCAAAGTCACAATTATGAGCTAATATGTCATACTTATAAGTTACAAAGTCATACTTATAAGATACAAAGTCATCATTTCCCCTTTTAAAGTCATAATTTTTACCTTTAAAGTCATAATTATGAGTTACAATGTCATACTTGTGAGTTACAAAGTCATAATTCCAACTTGCAAAGTCATACTTATAAATTACAAAGTCATAATTTCCACTTTCAAAGTCATGATTTCAACTTTTTAAAGTCACAGTTATGAGTTAGTCACAATTTACTAGTTACAGTCAGTTTCCACTTTCAAAGTCACAATTATGAGTTACAATGTCATACTTATAAATTACAGTCATAATTTCAACTTTCAAAGTCATAATTTCGAATTTTAAAGTCATAATTATGAGTTACAAAGTCACAATTGAGTTACAAAATCATAATTATGAGTTACAAAGTCATAATTTCCACTTTCAAAGTCATAATTTCGATCTTTAAAGTCATAATTATGAGTTACAAAGTCATAATTATGAGTTACAAAGTCGTAATTTCAACTTTTAAAGTCACAATTATGAGTTACAAAGTCATAATTTCAACTTTGTAGTCATAATTATGAGTTACAAAGTCTGAATTAGGAGTTAGAAAGTCATAATTGTGACCTTTAAAGTCATAATTATGAGCTACAATGTACTTATGAGTTTCAAAGTTATAATTCCCACTTTTAAAGTCACAATTATAAGTTACAAAGTCATAATTAGACATCCATCCATCCATCCATCCATCCATCCATCCATCCATCCATCCATCCATCCATCCATCCATCCATCCATCCATCCATCCATCCATCCATCCATCCATCTTCTGCCGCTTATCCAGGGTCGGGTCGCGGGGGTAGCAGCTTCAGTAAGGAGGCCCAGACGTCCCTCTCCCAGTCACTTGGTCCAGCTCCTCCGGGGGACTTCCAAGGTGCTCCCAGGCCAGCCGAGTAACATAGTCCCTCACAATGTGTCCTGGGTCTCCCCCTGGGCCTCCTCCCGTTAGGACATGCCTCGAACACCTCATCAGGGAGGCGCCCAGGAGGCATCCTAATCAGATGCCCGAGCCACCTCAACTGGCTCCTCTTGATGTGGAGGAGCCGCGGCTCTACTCTGAGTCCTCCCCGGATGACTGAGCTCCTCACCCCTATCTCTAAGAGAGAGCCCAGACACACTACTGAGAAAACTCATTTCAGCCGCTTGTATCCGGGATCTCGTTCTTTCGGTCATGACCCAAAACACATGACCATAGATCAGGGTAAGAACGTAGATCGACCGGTAAATCGAGAACTTTGCTTTTTGGCTCACCTCTCTCTTCACCACAACAGAACGGTACAGGACACGCTTCACAGCAGACACCGCACCAATCTGCCTGTCGATCTCCTGCTCCATCTTCCCCTCATTCGTGAACCAGACCCCAAGATACTTAAAACTCCTCCACTAGGGGCAGTACATCCTCCCCAACCTGGAGAAGGCACTCTTTTCTGGCTGAAGACCATGGTCTCAGATTTGGAGGCATTGATCCTCATCCCCGGCTCCTTCACACTCGGCAGCAAACCGCTCCAGTGAGAGCTGCAGATTCACGCCCTGATGAAGCCAACAGAACCACATCATCTGCAAATAACAGAGATGCAATCCTACGGCCACCAACACGGATCCCCTCAACACCTTGGCTGCTCCTACAAATTCTGTCCATAAAAGTTATGAACAGAATCGGTGACAAAGGGCAACCTTGGCGGAGTCCAACCCTCATTGGAAACGAGTCCGACTTACTGCCGGCAATGCGGACCAGGCTCTGAGACCGGTCATACAGAGACCTATCAGCCCCTATTAAAGGGCCTGGTACTCCATACTCCCGGAGAACCCCCCAAAGGACCCCCCCGAGGGACACGGTCGAATGCCTTCTCCAGATCCACAAAACACATGTAGACTGGTTGGGCAAACTCCCATGCACCCCATAATTAGACCTTTAAAGTCATAATTATGAGCTACAAAGTCACAGTTATGAGTTACAAAGTCATAATTTCGACTTTTTTAGTCACAACTATGAGTTACAATGTAATAATTTCGACCTTTAAAGTCATAATTATGAGTTACAAAGTTTGAAAGTAAATCTTATATCTCATCATTATGACTTTAAAAGTCGAAATTATGACTTTCTCTTCAGTGAATAATTATGACTATAGCATTTTTTTTATTTTCATGTGGTGGAAACAGGCTTCCATAGGTATTAGGGCCAGGCTAGAGATTTTTATTTTTAATACGAGAATAAAGTCTTAACATAACATTATGAAAATAATCTAACATTTTTAAGTCGTAGTATTAGGAGAATAAAGTCGTCATACTACAACCCATTTCAGAAAGAAAGCGTTGAGCTCATAGTCGTTTGCACAATCGTTTCAGAGTCTGATACTGATAACCAATGTTAAAAGACTTTATATTTCCCTATTTGTCAAACCGATGCCAAAATATAACTTCACAAGATGTTTGACATTCCTCACTTTAGGGCAGACGGTGCCTCTTTTAAGACTTATCATAAAATACAAGTTTATTCTCGTAGTATTATTACTTTATTTTCCTAATGTTGCAGCCTTATTTTCGTATATATATAAATATATAAATCCTACAGTGTATGCCTAGCTTTAAGGTGAGAGTGAGGCGAGGAAAAGAAAAACCAGAAAGTAAATCCAAACATTTATCCAACATTTAGCCTGTGGCTGTCTTCAAATAAGTGCAGCAAATACTCATCTGTTCACATCTACATACCTATGAAAATTTGGTTTTTCAGCGTCAACTTTGATCAAAACAAGACAATCTGATTAATCCGGGTATGTCTGGCTGGTTACTGAGGTCCTTTTCTTTCTAGCGCTATTTTGACTTCTGCCTGCTCTCCACTTTACTCTTGTAAGCAGATTTATCTCTCCTCTCTTCAACTGTTCCCTCTGTTCTCATTTAATCTTCTATCAGTCTGTCCATCTTCTTCCTTTCTCCTGTTCTATCAGTCTTATACTATTCTAAAACAGATACATAATATAATCACAATCCCTTCTAAAAGAATTTAAATGTACGACATGAAAACTTACAATTTAATAAGATTTTGTTTCAAACACCTGTTGGAAATTGGTTATGTTTAGATGAGACACGGGTTAATCTGAAATAATGTCTTCATTCATATTATTATTATTGTATTATTATTATTATTATTAGGTCTTATTATTAGTATTTTATCTCACCTGATTAAATATCGAAGATACTAATGATAACATAATAAATGAAAATTGAACAGTGATTATCTCTTCCACAGCTAAGCCTGGAAGTCTATGCACATAACTCACAACCATATCTCAGTAAAACAACTATAATATCTCTTCTTATAGTAACTGACTACTGAAAATATAAAGTAAAGCTCACCAATCAATTTTCTCCCTCATTTTTGAAACAGGGACATTTCCGGGACAGCTTTAGCCAGGGACAGGCTTAAGCTATCCCTGGAATGTCCCCGGAAAGTCTTTTGTTATCGTAGGTTATGATATTTAGATTATGGGAATTATTTTCATTTTTTTCTCCAAATGCTTCAGGGACTGTTTATAATGACTTTCTTCAACTGGAAGAATGAGTTACTGTCATGATCTTGGCGATGATGGCCTAATTACTCATTTCATTCACCTGTCTAACTCCGCCCAGTTTCTTGTTGCTGTTCATGAGATCCACCTGCTCCTGCTTCTATTTGAACAGCTGTCTAACCAGTCATCAGTGGCAGATTATTCTCGCGTCAGTGGGAAGATTGCGTTACCTTAGTGTTTCTGATTTCCTGACCTGTTCTGCCTCTTAACCACTGAGCCTGCCTGTTCCCATCTGATCTGTTTTCCTGACCTGTCTTTGGACTCCTGCTGGATTCTGCCTGTTTTCTGAACTTGGATCTGCTTCCTGACACCGACATGGGTTAC